CCCCCCGCCCCATGCTAATCCATATTCCTATTTTTTAAAACACACAAAAAGCACATAGAAATCAGTATGTAACTATTTTATTAATAACCGTAACAACATAATTTATTGTTGTGACATTTATGTAGCGCTCAACCCCGACTTAAGAACTCAACCATTGGCGCTTTACAAAATAAAATAGCAGCACATAACAGTGAACTGTGTTCTGATTTTAAAATCTAGGTATTGTATTAAAAGTGTATTATAAAGAATAAACCTTTTCAAATCACGCTGACCGGCGCCTTTAGTCGTCACGAAAAGACATAGGTTCGATCTCCCGTTGCTATTGTTATTGTCACTGTCATTGTTATTGCCATTACCATGATTATTTTTCATTATGATAGTCATTGTCATTGTCACAGTCATTATTATTGTCATTTTACTGTCATTGTCGTATCATTGTCATTGTCACTGTCATTAATCATTTAATGTTTATTGTCACTGTCATTATCATTGTCATTGTCACTGTCATTATCATTGTCATTGTCACTATCATTATCGTTGTCACTGTCATTAATCATTTAATGTTTATTGTCACCCTCATTGTCATTGACATTGTCATTTACGTATCCCCTTTTCAGGACGGCACAGTGAGAGGCGTGATCGCCGAGAACACTTCATCAGACAGCTCCCTGGGCGTCAACTGGGCCAACAGCGGCTCAGCTCAGAGCGGGAAGTACACGTGCGAGGCCAACGTCATCGGAACGGACAACATCCCCGTCCAACTGACCGTTTTCCAGCAAGTCCAGGTTCAGATCGTGGAGCCGAGCGTTGTGGCCGAGCCAAGTCTGGTCCAGCCCGGGCTGACCCGCGGGCTAAACGTGACGTGCGCCGTGGACGACCCGGCGTCTGTGAAGATGAAGAAGGCGGTGTTGGTGTCTTTGTTCCGAAGACGTGGCGAGAGCGAGCAGAGACTGGCCTCTGTCAGCGTCTTCAGCCCGCTGGTAGTGACGCACGGGCTGAGAGGGGCCTTGGTGGAAGGAGAAATTGGGTAAAGTAACGTAGGGGGACCCCTCCCCCTCCTTTTCCCTTTGCTCCACCCCCTTCTCTTTTTCAATTAACGTGTGCACGACATCCGGGTCGCCTTGGATAACACAGTGGGGATGGTGCAATGTCTTACAGGAACAGAAAAACGAAGTTTCCTACTTTCTCACACATTACCGCAACATGAAACTATAACTACCACCTTTTATAGTGCCAAGGTCGGAATGCTTTTTTGTCTGTTTGTTGTTGTTTTTGTTGCAGACGAAAGAGGCGAGCTGGATTCTTTTGCGTGTAATTTTATTTAACCGAGGACCTTCATCTTTCAGCAGAGATTGTATATCACCACTACAGCCTAGTCGATACCATTCCTCCTCGTAAGCTATTCCGTTTATAATAA